GAGTGGCTAGGGAGGTGGTGATGAAGGCTGTGTCTTTGGGAGGTTATGACTTTCCCAATATTGCCCGGTTCCTGGAGATACAGTGGTGGTTGGTGCATTGGAAGGCCTTTGACACAGGTGGTGCTGTAGCTGCCTTAATGAGGTTTTTGATAGGATGGGCTTCTGTTGAGATGGGGGTGGTGTGAGAAGGACCTTACGCGGCCCATGTCCCTAGTGTCCCCTGCATATTATCTTGGCATGGGGAAGTTTTTTAGGGACCACTCTCTGGGTGAGTTTGGGGCAGGAGGCGGGGAAGAAAGAGAGTCTTTGGAGATGGCTGAGGAGGGCAGAGCTATTAACTAACATCAGGGGCTTGGGCTCGAAACAGATGGAAGATTGCTGGAGGAATATGGAAATGGTAGGGGTGACAAATAAACAGAAGGAAGTTGTATGGATGTTGTTGCATAATGTCTTGCCTACAATGGATTTCCTGAAAGGGAGAGATTTGGTGAGGAGTGAGAGGTGTCCAAGAGAAGGTTGTGGGGGAGTTGAGAATGTCAGGCACGTTTTTTGGGATTGTGGCTTTGCAAAGGAAGTGTGGAGGAGGTTGGGTGGATTTGTGCATAAGGTGTAGTGGGTGTTCAGAATATTACTTTTGAAGCTGGAGTGTTTGGACTAGTGGAAGGAGGGAAGGTGGTACAAAGGTCCCGGATAGATTTTATTTTTGTCTCACATGTGTTTTCGGCTATTTTTAGAGAGGTGATGTGGGAGGCCCGGTGTGCTTTGCAAAAAGAGGAAGTTGGATCTGTCGGAAAGTGCTTGTGTTGACTGGTGTTTTTTGCTAAATTGTACTGTATGCTAGTGGTGGAAAGAAAGCGGATGGGAGAGGATGGTGCGAATGCGTTATGGAGGTATAGGAGGTGGTGTGGGAGGGGAGGCGGGAGCCTCCCTGAGAAATTGGGGTCTTTTAGCTTTTGTATTTGCCTTTTACTGTCCTAGATGATGCAAGGAACACAGCTCAGTTAAGTTCTTGTGTTTTTGACAGTTACTGCTGAGTAGTTGTGATTCAGTCTGATGGGAAAAAAAAAAAAAAAAAAAATCTTGAGCTGGATTGTTTGACCTTGCTGCCTTCTCTTGTCCTGACCCTTGGCCTGCCTGACTCTGCTCCTGGATGTTCCCCTTTAAATCTGATCTTTTGGTATTGACCCTGCGTGTGACCTGACTATCCTTTGCCTACCGTTTTGTACCTCACCGACCCGCTAGTTACCGACCCGGCCTGTATCACTCTGATTTAGCTCATCCATCCATCCATCCCGCAGGGATCACTAGGCTCCCTCACATCAGACTCTTAGCCCCCTGGAGCTCCTGTCAGACTCCTCTACCCCTGTTGGAGATACCTAGCAGCTGCGACCTGGTACCGGAGCGCTCCAAGTCCATCCCCACCATCAGGGGCCCTGGTGAACAAGTGCTCCGGTGCTTAGACTCCGCACTCTGGGGAGGCTCTGCCAGGGGATTGATAGAGGTGCTGTCAGGCGGTTCATTACAGGTTCACATACTTTCTTGCAACTGTATGTGATACACATGAACAACTGACCAGCTGGAAATATGACGTGATCACGGGGATCCGACGGCTTGACGTCAACAGCTTACAAGGGCTCCTCCTTAACGCGTTTCAAACTCAGCGTTCATTCTCAAAAGGGGTAGGCCTGTGTGCAGCCTGATGTCTAAATGCAGCTATTTATAGCATCAGACAATTTGAAAAAAAAGCGAGAAAAACGCCAAAAGACAACAATCATGCGCCATCTTGCCGAAGTCCAACGCAAGTGCACATGCGCGAACGAACTGGGCGCCATTTTGCCAGAGAAAATGTCATAAAGATCAATTGCAGCATGGATGTAATACTGCGCATATGCGGGTGCCATTTTCCTGTTGTTCACAGTGAAAGGACTGGTATAAGGAACTGTATAACAGCATTCCTTATTAATTTGATGGTACGAGGAAAAAAAAATGAAAAAAATGAAACTATAGGAATTCATCTTATTGTACAGAGCCAATATAAATGCCCTGGATATTATGAACATGATATGTGCACCATGGCAAATTAGCTGTACTTAGACACATGCGTGCATCATTGTCAAAACCGTGCTCGTACTGCGCGAATGCCATTTCTCCCAAGACAGAATTGTAGCAGTACAGACGGCTATATACCAAAATTCAAGATATAAAACCTGGTAAAACTCGTATGGGGACAGTGCGGTTTTATGATGTAGTACTATTTCTAGCAACCTTATTACTTACATATCAAATACAGTAGCTTGTACAAGTCCCACTAGTAAGTAAACAAAGGGGTTCCATACATACAGTAAAATAATGTCATATCGTAAGGGTACGACTCTATGGTATAAATATTATAATATTGAATATTTATGGCCGTCTGAGCTGTTACATTGCATAAAATAAAACAATCTATTATATAAATGCAATAACGATAATACAAAGATATAAAAAAAACCCATGGTAGAAAAACGCATCCATAAAGTATATGGACGCACTTCTTCAATGGTAAATACATAAGGATAAAATGGACAATAATAAAATTAATAGAAGGATGTGTAAGAATGTGTAATAAGAATATAATCTAATCGCCAGAATATAAACGAGACAGATAAGAAATGGTCACGTGGTCAAGTGAAACTAAATGTTATATCTATATAGGACATGCAGGATGTGTAAGGGCTAAAATATATTTTTAACTGTTATCAATATAGCAGTTGCGATCAATATCCACGTTGTGACCAGCCGGGGTCAGGGTTCTCATGTTAAAAATCCACTTGGTCTCGACCTGTGAGACCTGTCTTGTCTTATTGGACCTCCTCCAATGGTTGGTAATAATTTCGATACCCATAAACTTCAGCATAGAAGGATCTCGATTATGGTGATATCGAAAATGTTTGGACAAAGGATGTTCCTTAAAGCCTTTTCTGATATTATACACATATTCTCTAAATCTATCGCGTAGACGTCTAATGGTACGTCCTATGTACTGTCTCTTGCAAGGACATTCTAGATGATAGACAGCAAACTTGCAAGAGATAAAGGAAGTGACCTCATAAGTTTGTCCTATAGATGTAGATGAGAAAGTGTCTATCTTCTTAAGTTTAATTTTACTTTGTTGGCAAATAACGCATTTCTTACAAGGGTAGAACCCCTTCATTTGTGAGAAAAAGGTAGATTGTATGGGGGGATCTATGATGTTAGGTGCTATCCTGTTACGAAGAGTGGGTGCTTTCCTGAACACTATCTTGGGTCTATCTGGTAGCTCTTTGGATAAAATCGGGGTCTGCCTTCAAGATGCCCCAATGTTTATTGATGATTTTGTTAATTGCTTTGTATTGAAGTGAAAAGGTGGTTACTAATGGGCAAGTTTTGCCCATGCTTTGAGTTGTAGAGTTAGGTAGCATGAGATCTCTGTTCATCTTAGCTACATTCTCCATTTCTGTATCAAGTATAGTAAGATGTTATATTGGTGCAGTTTCTTCTTACCCACAACTGACTCTTAGGGATGTTCGCTAGCCAGATAGGGTGGTGACAGCTATTCGTGGGAATGAAGCTATTTCTATCTGTATTTTTTTAAAAAACGCTTCGCAAATAATGTGATCTCCATTGTTGATAAGTGTTAAGTCCAAAAAATGTATTTCTTTTGTATTGTACTCATAAGTCAATTTGATGTTTAAATTGTTATTGTTGAGGGTACTGAAGAAATTGACCAAAGAGCTCTCCTCCCCTTCCCATAGAAGCAGTATGTCATCTATATATCGCCTATAGAACTTTAGTTCCGGCCAGTCCCTTGCATATATCAGATCTTCCTCCCACCTGGCCATAAAGAGGTTGGCCAGGCTGGGAGCAAACTTTGCCCCCATCGCTACGCCCCTTTTTTGTAAATAATACTTTTGACCAAACCAAAAGTAATTGGTATGCATGGCAAACTCAAGAAGTTCCATGATAAAATGTCTCTGCGTTTCTGGGATATGTGGGGTCTCATTTAGATAATATTCAACTGCGTACATCCCATCATTGTGATTAATATTACTGTACAATGATGCGACGTCGGCAGTGACCAGATATGTTACTTTTTCCGTGTTAAGTTGAATCTCATTAATATCGTTAAGCACTTGTTTAGTATCTTTTAAAAATGAAGGGGTGGTGCATACTATGGGCTGGAGAAAGTGGTCTATATACTGACCCACTCTTGCGCATAGCGATCCGATTCCACTTACTATCGGCCTACCTGGTGGGTGGACCGGATCCTTGTGGATTTTAGGCAAACAATAAAGTATAGGGAGTCTTGGTGCTTTAGGGCACAAAAATTATTTTTCCTTTTTAGTAATCACATTGTGCCTATACCCCTTATTAATAATGTCCTTGAGCGATTTTTTATAACTGAGTAAGGGATCTTTGGGTAACACGCCATATGTTTCCTTATCACTCAGTATATTTTGCACTTCTGCCAATTTAATCAGATTTATTTAAAATCACAACCCCTCCACCCTTGTTGGCTGGTCTAACAACCAGATCTTTTTTATCTAAAAGAGTCTTAAGGCCAGTTTGAATGTTTCTGGGGTTGAAAGTTCCCTTATCCCCATCCAAGTTGTTTTCCCCTGAATAAAAACAACAAAAAACAATCCCATGGACTGGTTACTGACTCCGTGAGAAAGTAAAGAAAATGTGTGTTGCCTAGTTGTGCAGGAATAGGGGGACCCAAAAATCCAGTGGCCCTCTAGGGGGTATCGCTACACATTCATTCGTGTTTGTCCCAGACTTGTCACTTTCCTCTAACTACTCCCAAATAGAGATGGTCAATGATGTCACCACTATCTCTTCTTCCCTTTTATAGCTGATGACTGCTCAGTGGGCTGTCATTCAACTAGTGTTACAGTTAGGACTGCAGTCATAGCAATCATGCCATTTTAGTCCTCTCTGCTACTTTTAATATACAAAGTACACTTGGCCTGTTTTTCATGTGTTTTGATACTTGAGGCCCCTTTTACATGAAGGATCTGATCAGGTCTGTGCCTTTCAGTTTTCAGTGATCGGACAGTCCATTCAGGTCTATGGGTGTCAGGAATGGACTGGCCAGCAATAGTGGGACTCAGCTGCCTTATGAGCTGCAGTACCAGGGCTGGCCAGCGGGTGCTCCAAGCAATCAGAGACTCAACCTTGCAGCCAGTCAAACACCTGGAACTAATTATACTGGTGTATTTAAGGGACATTCAGACCTGCAGACTCTGCCTTGGTGTTGTGTTTCTCTTGGGCCCTGTATCCTGTTCCTGCTCTCTGTTCCTGTCTGATTCTCTGCTGACCCTGCTCTGATCCCTGGCTTGTCTGACCATTCTCCTCTGCCTGACCCTCTGTACCACGCTGCCCGCTACCTGCTGAACCTGGCCTGTGACCCCGACCATTCTCCGCTTGCTCCCCCTGTACCTACCTGCCCGACTGATATTGACCCGGCCTGCCTGACGACGCTTGCATTGTATGTACTGTTATCTGTGGGTGGTTGGTTGGTTTGTTTGCACTGTGTTATGTTTTAGTATTGCACTGCGTTTATGTTTGTATGGTTAGTGTTAATAAATTACATTGTGTATAACATAGCTGAAGTCTGCGTTTCCCTGCGTCAGTCACACACCTCTGGTCATACCCGGGAGCCCTGACATTACACCAAGGCCAATCCTGACCAGAAGTGGCTGCACAGGGAAGCCATCTTGGCTTGTTGATGGGAAGGATGGATCTGGATGAGGTTGCGTATTTATCTCTGCTAGTGTTTGATGACAGGGAGTATGCTTATCAAACTCTGAAGGAGTATCCCCGGGATGAACTGCTAGAATGTATATGGCTCGCTCATGTTCTAGTAGATCAGGGCACAGAGTTCTCTGAGGTGCAGCCTTTGATTGAGGTTTGTGCTGAGTTGGTTTCATCTGGTACCCCCGAATGCAGGGATGAATTTTTGCCACCATTTAGTGCAGACCAGGTAGAGTCCCTGGTATGGTTATTAGAGGATGATGTGGGTTACTTTCTGGAGCGTTATTCCACATGTTCACCACAGACACTAAGAGATTGTATAAACGCAGTGCAGTCTTTGGTCAGACAGGCTTTGTGTAAGCTCAGCTTTGTTCAACCCATACTGCAGACATGAACAGATTTGTTGCACCCAGCCTCAGTCAGCTTACAAAAACCCAGTCCTGCTTCTAATCTATTTCCTCAAAAACTCTATTCCTGCATTCCCAACAGCTCCTCCTGCCCTGCTATCTACCGCATGTCAGTACCCTGTTCCCACTCGCTGCACCTATCCTGCCTTTAAACCCTGTAAAAAAGCCCTCTGTAGCAACTGCTCCCTCTCCTGTTCCATCCTCCAGTTCTTCTCTGTCTCCAGCTGCTCCATTCGTTTGTAGACCTGCGTTTACTTGCAGTGCTCCAGTAGTTAAAACCAGAAAAAAGCGAAAATTCTTTCCAACCAATACCATCCTGCCAGTATCCAAACCGGTGAGCCTGCCGTCTGAGAACCTGCCTTCCGTGGTTCAGCCTGAAGCCTCTACTCAGCCTGAATCCTCTACTCAGCCTGATGCCTCTCTACTGATGCCTGTACGCAGCCTGATGCCTGTACGCAGCCTGATGCCTCTACTCGGCCTGAAGCCTCTACTCGGCCTGATGCCTCTACTCGGCCTGAAGCCTCTACTCGGCCTGAAGCCTCTACTCAGCCTGAATGCCTCTACTTGGCCTGATGCCTGTACGCAGCCTGATGCCTCTCTTCAGCCTGAAGCCTCTACTCGGCCTGAAGCCTCTACTCGGCCTGATGCCTCTACTCAGCCTGAAGCCTCTACTCGGCCTGATGCCTTACTCGGCCTGAAGCCTCTACTCGGCCTGAAGCCTCTACTCCGCCTGAAGCCTCTATTCGGCCTGAAGCCTCTACTCAGCCTGAAGCCTCTACTACTCAGCCGGACGCCGGCATTCGGCCTGATGCCTCTCTACCCAGCATGATGAACTGATCCAGCCTGACGATCCTATTAGGCCAGTTGACTCGATGCCCGCTGTTGATCCAGATGATCCGGTACCTGATCCGGTGCCCGCTGTCGTGCCAATTGACTCAGAGCCCGCTGTCGTACCTGTGACTCGGCCTGACGATCCCACTGCCTTGCCAGATGACGCGGTGTCCGCTGGCGAGCCAAATGACCTGATGCCTGGTGACCCAGTGCCCGCTGTCATACCTGGTGACCCGATGCCCGCTGTCGAGCCAGACGATCCAATGCCTGGTGACCCGGTGCCCACTGCCTTGCCAGATGACGCGGTGCCCGCTGTCGAGCCAAATGACCTGATGCCTGGTGACCCATGCCCGCTGTCCAGCCAAACTGGTGATTCAATGTCTGCCCCAGTGCCCGCGGTCATGCCAATTGACTCGGAGCCCACTGCCTTGCCAGATGACGCGGTGCCCGCTGTCGAGCCAAATTACTTGATGCCTGGTGACCCGATGCCCGCTGTCCAGTCAGACGATCCAATGTCTGCCCCAGTGCCCGCGGTCATACCAGTTGACTCGGAGCCCACTGCCTTGCCAGATGACGCGGTGCCCGCTGTCGAGCCAAATGACCTGATGCCTGGTGACCCGATGCCCGCTGTCCAGCCAGACGATCCAATGTCTGACCCAGTGCCAGCGGTCATGCCAGTTGACTCGGAGCCCACTGTCGTGCCTGGTGACTCGGTGCCCGCCGCTTCGCCTGGGGGCCCGAGACCTGTCGCTCCGCCTGGGGGTCCGGCGCCCGCCGCTCCGCCTGGGGGTCCGGCGCCCGCCGCCCCGCCTGGGGGCCTGAGACCTGTCGCTCCGCCTGAGGGCCCGAGACCTGTCGCGCTCCGCCTGGGGGTCCGGCGCCCGCCGCTCCGCCTGGGGGTCCGGCGCCCACCGCCCCGCCTGGGGGCCTGAGACCTGTCGCTCCGCCTGAGGGCCCGAGACCTGTCGCTCCGCCTGGGGGTCCGGCGCCCGCCGCTCCACCTGAGGGCCCGAGACCTGTCGCTCCGCCTGGGGGTCTGGCGCCCGCCGCTCCGCCTGAGGGCCCGGGACCTGTTGCTCCGCCTGGGGGCCCGAGACCTGTCGCTCCGCCTGGGGGCCCCGGCGCCCGCCGCTCCGCCTGAGGGCCCAAGACCTGTCGCTTCACCCGGGGTCCGGCATCCGCCGCTCCGCCTGAGGGCCCGAGACCTGTCGCTCCACCTGGGGGTCCGGCGCCCGCCGCTCCGCCTGGGGGCCCGAGACCTGTCGCTCCATCTGGGGGTCCGGCGCCCGCCGCTCCGCCTGAGGGCCCGAGACCTGTCGCTCCGCCTGGGGGTCCGGCGCCCGCCGCTCCGCCTGAGGGCCCGAGACCTGTCGCTCTGCCTGGGGGTCCGGTGCCCGCCGCTCCGCCTGGGGGCCCGATGCCTGTTGCCCCGCCTGGGGGCCCGATGCCTGTTGCACCGCCTGGGGGCCCAATGCCTGTTGCCCCGCCTGGGGGCCCGATGCCTGTCGCCCCTCCTGGGGGCCTGGCGCCCGCCGCTCCGCCTGGGGGCCCGATGCCTGTCGCCCCGCCTGGGGGCCCGATGCCTGCTGCCCCGCCCAGGGGCCCGGTGCCTGCTGCTCTGCCCGGGGGCCCGCTGCCTGCTGCCCCCACCCGGGGGCCCGCTGCCTGCTGCCCCGCCTGGGGGCCCGGTGCCTGCTGCCCCGCCTGGGGGCCCGGTGCCTGCTGCTCCGCCTGGTGGCCCGCTGCCTGCTGCTTCGCCTGGTAATCCGATGTGCCTCTGCCCGGAGTCCTGCCCGATGTGCCTCTGCCCGGAGTCCTGCCCGATGTGCCTCTGCCCGGAGTCCAGCCCGGTGTGCCTCTGCCCGGTGTGCCTCTGCCCGTGTGCCCTCTGCCCGGAGTCCAGCCCGATGTGCCTCTGCCCGGAGTCCAGCCCGATGTGCCTCTGCCCGGAGTCCAGCCCGATGTGCCTCTGCCCGGAGTCCAGCCCGATGTGCCTCTGCCCGGAGTCCAGCCCGATGTTCCTCTGCCCGGAGTCCAGCCCGATGTGCCTCTGCCCGGTGTGCCGCTGCCCGGAGTCCTGCCCGGTGTGTGCCAGTCTTTGATATCCCGCCAGTTACCAGACCCGGGCGGTGGAACATTTTGCCCAGCTAGGACTGTTTGGAGCGTCCTGAGGCCGCTCCTTGAGGGGGGGGGGGTACTGTCAGGAATGGACTGGCCAGCAATAGTGGGACTCAGCTGCCTTATGAGCTGCAGTACCAGGGCTGGCCAGCGGGTGCTCCCAGCAATCAGAGACTCAACCTTGCAGCCAGTCAAACACCTGGAACTAATTATACTGGTGTATTTAAGGGACATTCAGACCTGCAGACTCTGCCTTGGTGTTGTGTTTCTCTTGGGCCCTGTATCCTGTTCCTGCTCTCTGTTCCTGTCTGATTCTCTGCTGACCCTGCTCTGATCCCTGGCTTGTCTGACCATTCTCCTGCTCCTGATCCCTGGCTTGTCTGACCATTCTCCTCTGCCTGACCCTCTGTACCACGCTGCCCGCTACCTGCTGAACCTGGCCTGTGACCCCAACCATTCTCCGCTTGCTCCCCCTGTACCTACCTGCCCGACTGATATTGACCCGGCCTGCCTGACGACGCTTGCATTGTATGTACTGTTATCTGTGGGTGGTTGGTTGGTTTGTTTGCACTGTGTTATGTTTTAGTATTGCACTGCGTTTATGTTTGTATGGTTAGTGTTAATAAATTACATTGTTTATAACATATCTGAAGTCTGCGTTTCCCTGCGTCAGTCACACACCTCTGGTCATACCCGGGAGCCCTGACAATGGGCTTGTGGGTGTAAATGGACTTCTGTTTGTTTACACCGGCCTGCCTTCAATCTGATTTGGTCTGCTAATAAAAAAAACCCTCTATCTAGGTGGATCATCGGAATCGGGGTGAGAGAGAGGATGTTGGGCGGGTGTTCGTGCTGGTAGTTGGTGATGGTAGTCAGTCCTCTGCACTGTAATGTAATGAGGTACTGTGATATAAAGGGGCCTGCACTGTAAAGGGGCACTGTAATCATTACATTTCCAATGCAGACCCCTTTATATCACAGTGCCTCTTTACATTACAGTACTCCTAGCAATAACAGCCACCCCATCACAGTGCCCCTTACAGTCATCAGTCATGCCTCCCCCTTTTCTCTCTAATCACAGGACCCCCTTTTACTCTCTGCCTCCTGTGCACAGTCGAACCTTTGGTAGAGCAGAAGCAGAACTCAACCTGTGTGTCTTCTCCAGGGTTTCCAACCCCGCTGACTATGTAATCCTATGAGCAGGGCAGGGGGTGGGAAGAGCTGCAGATCTGGATCATATTAACAAGAAGGTGATTACCCACTTGTGAATATGAAAAGACTCCCGCTCTCTGTGCAGATCTCCAGCTCCTCCTGCCCCCTGCTCTGCTGATAGAATGACATCGTTGGAGGGTGGGAGAGCTGGAAGAGGAGACACAGGCATGGGCGCAGCATAGTGGGAGGTAATTGGCGACCATGGTCTGTTTTAACTGCAGTCTGGACCATGGTCGCTGCTTACCTCCCGCTGTGAGGCCCAGTCATCAACAGGCCACGGACCGGTACCAGCAAATGCACAGTGTGCCTTATGGTTAGTCAGGGCCTGGAGGAGTCCGTTTGCACCAGACTGCCTATTGAGCAGAGCAGGGCTCTGTCTGTGTCCACTCTGCATAAAATGAGTGGACATGGACCTGTCATCCGTCCACTCTGCTCTGATCAGCAGGGGATCAGCGGACAGATCCCCTGCTGATCAAATCGCAGTCAGCAGCATTCTTCACTGTCTCATCAGTCCTGGAATATTTCAGTGATTACAAATATTAAGCTTTACTTCATGTAGTTGGGTTAATCTTCCGTTTCACTATGTTAGATACATTTTTTTTTTTAAATATCCTGTGATCTTTTCAACAGAACATTCCTGGGAATTGTGCCATTAAGAGTCCTCCCTGCTACTTTGAATATACAAGGTACACTTGGTCAAGTTTTAACGTGTTTTGATGTCTTACATTCATTTAATAATAGGTTTACCACATTTGTAACAGCTACTTCTAATATATCATTTTGAATCAAATGTTTTTAGCCTTTTGCAAGCATATAGGATAGGTATCATGCGATGAATACTTTTAAGCACACATACAGTACATCCATGTGCATAATCCACTTATGTAGAAGTCTTTCTATGAATTGCTAATCACTATTTTCAGAATAATTGAATTTTATAAGATAAATTATAACCTGGTATGTTTGGATCAGAGTGAAATGCTGCCCATATTAGATGGCTTGATGCATATGCGAATTAACATAATAATAATAATGATTCAATGAATGTTGTAAATTTAGTATAGGTTCCAAAGACATAAAAGTATAATTAATCTTCTTTTTCGACCAGATGTTTATGGTAGAATAAGGTATACACAAATAAACAGATTTAAACATTCAAGCAGCATAGTGGTTAAACAGTTAGCTCTTCCGCCTGGCAGTACTAGGGTCGTTGATTTGAATTCCAACCACGGCACCTCCTGCCTGGAGTTTGCATGTTCTCCCTGTGCCTGCATGGGTTTCCTCCCACACTCCAAAGACATGCTGGTAGGTTAATTGGCTCCTGTCTAAATTGTCCCTAGTATGTGTATGTATGAATGTGAGTTAGAGACCTTAGATTGTACGCCCCTTGAGGGTTAGGGACTGATATGAATGTTCAACAAATATGTAAAGTGCTGCGTAAATTGATGGCGCTATATAAGTACCTGAAATAAATAAATAAACAAGAGAATCCTGATGAATTTCACTCCATCTGCTTAATCGTAATTCCTTTTTCTCTCTCTTTACAGATCTACTTTTCTATTTGTCCCCTTCATACATTAAGAATGTTTTTTTTTTTTCCTAATCCTGTCAACACTTCTAGTTAATCAGCCATTTAATATATACATTTCTCCACCGACCTCCTGATCCATCACCCCTTGGTCATCTTTGCATCCTACCTATCCCATAACCATTACTTATTCGGATCATTCAATCATCTTGTACTTTCTAACATCTAGCAATTTGTAGAGTAGATACATTCCTTTTACCAAATCTTTCCACATGCTTCTGTTTACTATACACAAAGTTTTCCCTGACTTGTCACTTTTCTATTACTACTACCAAACCTTCCGGTCCTGGGTCCTCCTTTCTTCCCATTCTGGCACCTATTAAGATATTTAAATAGCCAGGTTGAATACCAATTGCATTCTTTGCACCCCTGGAATATTTAGTAATCGCACTGCAATTAATACATTTTTCTTCACTTAAAGGAGTTGTATTAATCTTCTGCTTCACTGTCCTCAGTCTTCTTGGTTTTAGCCCCTGGTTCACCTTTCCGTCCTATCTGTTCCATAACCATCACTCATTTGGATCATTGAAACATCTTGTTCCTTCTGATATTAAGCAATATGTGGAGTAGATACATTCCTTTTTACCGTCTCTTTCCAGTCTCAGGTTTTCATATCCCTATGTTTGCTAAATACTTTTTTAAGCCCCCTTAGTGCTCAGTTTTATATTACTTGTCACTTACCATTTACCCCACCCACATCCTTTTTTCCCATTCACACATAGTGGCTGTTAAAGCAAATGCTTATGAGCCTTAGGTAAAGATATGACTCAATTGTGGAAAAATGCGCATCCCAGAATTTAGTATGCTTTATGGCAGCTGCCTCAAAGTTACTGTTTAGTTAAGGACTAGGTCCATAGCTGTGCATAGACATGTGCAACCTTGGCAGCTATAGCCTGTTTCAATAAATGTATAAAATTAGCCTTGTAGCAAGCAAGGCTAGCAGACAACTAGCATGCAAAAGTTACTCAAGAGATAAAACTCTACCACATTACATAACTCTGGTTCATCCACATCTTGAGTATGTCCCCTAGTGTTGACCACCAGTCCTGAAGTAGAATGACCTTGAAGTGGAGAGAAGGGTAACAAAGTTAATAAGGGGGCTGGAGCACATCAGTTTTGAGGAACAACTACAAGCCTTAAACCCATTCTCCCTGGAGAAGAGGGGACAGGAGCACAACATACAAATCTTTAAATGGGGACTGCAATTTTAGGAGGAAACTATTTAATCATAAGTTTCAAAAAAAGACACAGAGCCTATGTTGGCCCCATCATGTAACCCAGAAGTGGCAATTTAGCCCTGTATGAGGGCTGGACTGTTTTTTACAATACACAATTGCAGGGCCATCTTTAATATTGGACTTGGGCAAACATTTACTTGCCCCCCCCTGCCCCCCCCATGCAATTTCACTCCCCACCTGCTCTGAGACCAGGGGCGGACTGATCATTTGGAAACTCGGGCACTGCCCGAGGGACCGGGGTCAGTAGGGGGCTCCATGAGATTCCCCTGGTACCTTTTTCATAGACTTTTTTGAGTTTGGGCAAGGACACAGGGGCCCCATGATCCCCTATTGCCTGGGGGCCCCATGAGTTGTCAGTCCGCCCCTGTCTGAGGCATACAATCAATAGCAGCTAGACTCAAAATCAGTTTATTGTGGCAGATCAGGAAGCGATTGGTTGCTGGAGGTTACAGCACATCATCACTGCTCACTGACTGGTTGCTAAAGGGTATAGCACACATTATGGCTCACTGATTAGTTGCTAGAGATTATAGCACATGATTTTTGCTTGCTGATTGGTTGCTAGAGGTTACTGCACATCCTTACTGCTCACTGTTTGGTTGCTAGATGTTACTGCATATCCTTAACCATCATTGATTGGCTGCTAGAGGTTACTGCACATCATTACTGACCACTGATTAATTGCTAGAGGTTACTGTACATCATTACCACTTACTGATTGGTTGCTAGAGGTTACTGCACATCATTATTGCTCACTGATTGGGAGTGCTTGGGGTGGATAGGATCAGTGGCAGTGCTGGATGGGAGGTGACATTTCTACACTGACCAGCAATGTTAGGGGGCAATATTAATGGGGATTGACACTGATGACCAATGTAAGGGGGGATTTACACTGACCACCAGTGTAAGGGTAATTCTGCACTTACCACCAATACAAAGGGAAATTTACACTGTCCACCATTGTAATGTTGAATTTCCACTGACCACCTATGTAATAAAGAATTTACACTGACAACAAATGTAATGGGGAATTTTACACCAACAACCAATACATTTCTATACTAACCAGCCATCTAAGGGAGGATTCGACACTGACCACAAATGCAAGTTATGATTTTTTACTGACTACCAATATAAAGAGGCGTTTCTACACTGTAAACCAATGTAAAGGGGATGTACACTGACCACTAATGTAATAGGAGCATTCACAGTGACCACCAATGTAAGGAGGGATTTACACTGACAACACCATGCTCCAATGTAATGCCAATATACTACACACTGAACACCTATGTAATTGAGACATTTAGCCTATGTTCACATTTGTACATGTCAGGAACACATGCAAAATCGCTTTCCTGACACCACAGAAACATACTGCCCTTTAGCAGATACACAGCAGTTTCATTAATTGGAAAT